ACAACTAGTTGTGTAAATATTAAACATTTATCACAGGTGTCCCTCAAAAGACATGCATTAAATTATTTTCTTTAATTCACTTAAAATGCTGGATAGGAACACACCACGCCTCCACTGAGTTGTACCTGATCTCTCTTGATTGTTTTCATATTGTCATCAAGATGCCACTTGTTTCCATTGAATTTTATAGTGCCAGGACATGCTCCCTCCTTATAACCGTCTTTAAGAATGTTCACAGGAACGTACTGAAATTTGTAAAGCTGAATTTTTGCAGTAGCCCAAAATTCCATGCAGAGATACAGCATGTTTACCAGCTTAAAAACAAAACATACAATCTGGAGCTTTCTATCCTCACCTTTACATGTTATTTCATAAAAAAGTCATGTAACATATGGCTCTGGAGACATTTATCTTAAGATTTTGATCTACAGTATTTCTAATTATCCTTATTCAAGACAAGCTATTGTACATGCTATTTGTTCTATAGGTTTTAAACTGTTCTTAATTGCCAATTCATCAGTTCTGTCACCTTCCTTGTTAAACCAGCCAGTGAAGACTTGCACAACTCCAGTCCGTCAGGAGACACAGACTAAGAGTTATCAACCTCTCCAAAGAGTTATATGCTTTAGATATGGGGAAGATTTGATCTATTCAAACTAATTGAATAGAATATAATTACTTAAATTAATTATACACAAGCACTAAAGACCTCTAGGCTGTTTGTCTGTGACTTTGTACTCATTCAGACCAGAATGTAAAAGAAGAATCTAGGTGCCCTCATACACAGTCCACTATGTGGCTCAGAAGTTTGAGGTTACCATGAACTTCTCACAAGAATTACCTGAGGTAGTTATGTGGAAATTTTGATCTGTTTAAACCCATTACATAAAAGAATATATATGCGTAAATTATTTAATTAGTTATTTCTTAGATTTTGATGTTTTAATGGCAGTACAGCTCCTAGTCTTTTCACAGCCTGCAATCCACAGGACCGTCTTTTCCAAACAGAAAGGTTAGACAAGGTGTCCACAATCCTGATCCTGGAGTCTACACACCAGTTGGTGCTTGTTCCAGTCGATTTCTCGGGTTAACAACTGAACGCTTAACTAACTGAATAAATAACAGGATTCATTTTAACTATTCAACTGTTTTCAGCATTTAAGTAAGTTGAGATTCCACAATGTAACTATCACATTTCACCAGTAAAATTAAATCCCCAACTTTTCAGTTGAAACAAAAACTTGTTAATATTCCTAACAAACAGCTTATAAGTTCAAAGACCATTTTTAATTATATATGTAAGCTCAAGTGGAATGAAAACCAGCACAGGTGGTCCTGGAGGATTACTACTGGGACCCCCTGGGTGAGACAGCTATCAGAACACAAAGAACCTTCCCACGTCTTTCACGCAAAAGATTATCACTACGTATCGCTAACAATAATAGAAATGGCGGACGAGGACTGTCACTTCAATATTGTTGGTTAGCCTTCAAAAATAACAAACCCCCTCCACAGTGATAGCCAAGACAGGCAACAACTTCTAGAACAACTTTTCAACACTGCCTCTCATAGGACTCACACTGTGAAGAAGAAAACAATTAAAATGATTAACAAAAATGGTAGCCATTATCTCCTCAGTAGCTTGATCCATAAAACAAAGGTTGAGCCCTGTGAATAAGACATCATGGTTTCGAACCTGACCACTTCACTAATGTTGAATATTCACCAAGTGGTAGCACTCGTTGGATCAGTGCCACCGGGGAATGGATTGGAATAGGTTGGCCAGGGCTCTCTTTTAGCTCCTACGGAAACAGCAACAATCCAGAACTTCCCAAGTGCTTGCCTTTGTGGCAGCTTCAGTGAAGGATATTGCACTCCCCCAGCTCTGCAGAACCTCCAAGACATCACTTGACACAGTGCGTATTGTGCAAAGATGACAGGCTTGACCGGAGGGCAAACAGGAGAAGCACGTCTGAACTTCCGCACTCTCCCCACGTGGGTAGAGGGGTCATTGCTGAGAACTTCAATAGAGACATGGGTTGGCAAGTGCAGACTGTGTGGGTGTGTATAAAAAAATATTGGTGGGTGAATCTCAATCAAAGACTACATGCATTAATGAGTAATCTTAAAGATTGCATGTATTAATAATAGGGTAATAACACTTTAGGGATCACAAGCACTGCCATTACCATGCTACAGTCTTAGAGTGTTATCAGTGTTTCATGGAGAGCAACCTGGGGTATGCAAAAATAAATTCTTAATGCAAGAAACTGTATAAGTGATCTTATCTTATCAGGAGGTTTCACATCTCCTACTTAAATCGACACTTAACCAGCACTGATGCAGTCCAGATACAGCAAAACAGTTTCAAAATAACCCAGAAATATGTCTACAAATGGGAATATTCCATTAAAGTACATTTGATGAGAAAAGACACCCTTTAATAAGTAAAAAAGGCAAAATATGCCTTCTGCAATCACTAGTGGTTTGAAACAAATGAAAACGAACAACAGTGACATGTCCTTGGCATTTTCCTGTCCTCACCAAGCTGACTATACAAGCCTTAACAACAGGGATTTTTAAGGAACTGTAAGTGATGTGTTCTGGTTAAATTCTTTCATTATGGGGCTGATATCTGTTCATGGAATGAAGTGCTTGAAAAAAGATACTCCCCAAAATAGCAGGGACATGGATAACTTTTGGTATAATGGAAAAACTCCACAACTGACATAAAAGTAATATACGTCATACACCTAAAGAGTCCATTTTGAAAAACACATTTGCAAAGTACACTAGTCTTAAAAAAATGTTGCTTCAGCTTTTCATCTGCAAATTAGTAATGGCTCTGAACACGCCCCGATTAAAATTAAATGTACCTGACATCTAAATATATACTAACAGCTAACTCAGTTTCTTAATTGATAAAATGTCATCTTAAAGTAAATAAAGCTCACAGAAAATAATCCTGCACAAGAATCTGCTGTGATCCCTTTGCAGCGATTCTCTTGGTTCTGGAAGGCCTCAGTCCACCTGCTTTTATAAGTAATTTATAATCCTTAATGCATAAAGACCTGGAAACAGAAGTAATATAGACTAATTAAGAGAACAATTGATTCAATAAAATCAATAAGAGTCCAGGGTAGAGTGAAAATCAGAAGATAAGCAGCCCTCCAGAACTAGGAATGAACATCAAACTAAATTATACATAAAATAGCATGTGGTCTCCCATTACCACTGTCTTCTACATTTACACACATCTTCGTTCCCCAAATTTCAGTTCCTGACTGTGACCCCCTAATTCAATTAATGTAATTGAATAACTTTAAGCTGTTCGTTCTACTTTTTTATTTATAATATTGATATGAGAGCAAATATACTCAAAGGGCCTAAAATTGTGCGTCCATTCATTAGTTTAAAACACATCAAAGATATTACACAGAATACAAGCATACTGCTGCTTTTGGAAAGCAAATTAAGTTACTTCCAAGAACAATGCGCCTTTGCAAAAAGTTTATAACTCCATTTTTTGACTCATTAAACCACATACTGTACCTGTAATTACTGTTTGCAAGTTTCGTTGAAAAATCTCTTCAAATAACCCTGAATCTAAACAATCAATTACAAAGACGGATTTGAAACGTATCTCCGAATTCGATAAATTGTATATAAAAAGATACTACTGTATATTTTTTTCGTTTTCACTTTAAAAGCGTCCATTCCATTAGGAAAACAGACAACACACGCCCAAGGAACACCGTATATGCATTGGTTTCTTGTGAGTGGTAAAGAATAACATCAAATGAAGCGACAATTACCGCAAAAAGAGTTTGGGAAGAAAATCTGACATTGCTACATAATACCGCATGAAGCAGTTACCTGCGACTTTTCAAATCGACTACAACTGAATTACAATCCTCCGTAGTAACTGCAGAGAACTGCCTCACAAATCGAATAACAAAAGCAGCCCCCAGAGAGGGTCAGAGCTGAGCAGTTACACAAAGCAAGCTGCACGTCTTCCTGCTGAATAATCTGACGGACCCCCACCCCCATTTCTTTAATTGATGCGCGCCTAAATGGCATCTCACACATATCCAGGACCTAATCCTAGTATAAGGCAATACTGGACATTTAGGTCTCGATGTTTTAAGCACCGCAGGCACATACACAGGAGTCCGAAACTATATATAGCCAATGTCGCCAACTGGTTAGTGGCGACCCTTTATGGCACTGTCCATCAGCAGTAAACACATCAGAGCACCACAGCCAGTGCCACCTTTTTCTCAGCGGTTTTAGGACAGACTTTGCAAACCTGTCAGCATACAACATCCCCTGGTCGTACCAAGAGCAGCCGATATGTTTACTTTAGTTCCAATCTTGGTAGCCTTGTTAACTTTTTAAAAAGAAAAAAAAATATGGGAGAGAAACGTGTCACATTCTTTAAAGCCAAAGCACCAAATTCTCCTCCCCTTGAGGCTTGGAAAAAAAACCCAGAAACTAGACGCTCAAACAGAACAGCGCAACACTCAGCCGAACAGAATTTTGTCAGTTCGCAGGCTTGGTGAGTACGGTCGGCTTTTTGTGCACTGCCCCGCAAGAACTAGGCGTTTAAGGGCAACGGGTTGGTCAATAAATGGTTAAATGTAAATACTGACATACTGGATTGCAACGTCCTCAAATCCAAACAGGCAGATAACGACCGTGATTGTAGTAACCTAGAAGCGAGAGCTTGTATAATAATCTCCGCAGTTACATGCACTTGTTCGGTGCTGGTGCTCCCGTGCCTTAGCTGGGGCTAACAAAAATAAATTAATAAATCATCTCCCTGGACTACCTATGATTTTTACGACATCACGCAATTTACGAACTACAGGTATTAGACTGATCGTCGCAATCCGTCAGTCGGCCTCTCTTTATCTCACACCCTATCCCAACTTAATCCTTCTGCCCGCAGGGATTTATCCCGATGAGGCCTGCGACTCCCGCCAGGTCCGGGGACTCACCTCGGTGGGCTGGCTGATCTCGAACAGGTCGAGCCGGTTGGCGTTCCAGTGGTTAATGATGTCGGCGAGTTTCCGCCGCTCCTCCTCCCGGCTCCCCGACATTCTCAATCCCGAATGATACTCTTACGGGGGAGAAAATTCACTTCCTTTGTCCACAATAAAATCCCCCGTCTGATTACTGCAAAGGAGTTAGTGTACGCACAATATTCGGATTTCTGAAGCAGATGAGTGTAGGTCTCCTACACACCTCTCGCTCTGCACCGCTCCTTCTATTTCCGTGTTCCCTTCTCCGTCTACGTTTCTCTTATCTCTCTACCTCCCTCCCTCTCTCTCCCTGGGAAGAGTTACGTCTGGCTCTGTGCGCGCCCCCGCCACCCCCCATCTTTACAATGTTACATGAACGCGCGTCGTGATGTGTGTCCATCTAGCGGGACTACGCTTTTCACAAATGATAAATTATGTAGGGAACGCGCACTATCCGAAATGCACTGCTTAGGGTCGTTTTGTCCTTTCTAGAAACGAATTCAGACCATGTTATAGTTTAAACCTTCTTTTGATTTATTATTTTCAATAAGATATTTTTACAAGAGGGACAATAATAAATACTTTGCTGATTTATTTTTAAAACTTGATTTTTATCACTAAATACAGGAAGGAGCGTTCAATAGATCTATGTAAAATTTCTTAACCACGTATTAGATCGCAAATAAACGATATATTCTCATCAAATTTTAAGATTATTTACACAAATCACTCCTATTTTGCCTGGATTGTTTTGAACACAATATTGAAGCTATCAGTATTAGCTCAAAACAGTGTAGCTTTCTTTAAGGTGAGCCTCACAAAAAAAACAACAAACCTCACATTATTTAGATTGTGCTACATCATGCACAGTGAGAAATTTTCAAATTCCTGTTTCCTTTCATGTGCAATGCAACAATGCTAAGCGAATTGTAACCTGTCTGTTATTCCAAGGCATGTGGTTTAGAATATGATTAGAAAATTATTATTGTGTGACAATCGTGAAAAGCATCTAACCATCTTCTGGCCACTTTATCTAATACAAGGTCATAGGGGAGCTGGAGTGTATTCTGGCTAGAAATGGGTAGAAGATAAGATGCACCCTGGCCAAGACACCTGTCCCTCACAGGGGACACACAGCCACTCACACCTATGGCCAGAGGAACCCAGAGCAAACACACATGAATACAAGAGGAACATGCAATCTCCACACAGCTGCCACCCCACATCTGGAACTGAACCCACACCCACAGTGCTGCAAGGCAGCAATGCTAACCGCTGTGCCATCCTCCTGTTAAATATAATGAAAAAAAGTAATTTCATTATTAAATTACAAATTGTTGGTATAGGACACAAGATGAAAAATCTATAATAATTTTTTTTGTACACAAACCAATGATTTTATATGAACAATACAGGAGGAAATCTGAGCCTCTAAAATGCAAACATGTTTAGCAGGAAGTGTTAAAATCAACTAGTCTGTATGTAGTCCATGGAGGTTCTAGTTTTTACAGCTTCTGAATGGGAAATCGCAGAGAGCAATGTTCAGAAAAAAAAAGTTTGCACCAATTCTAATTAACCCCACCTCACCTCTTTCTCTTATGGAAATTTCTTCACCAGGTAAGCATGCATTATCTTTTCACATTGATTCTGTGCAGTGTCATCATGCTCACTGATGTTCACAGCATGGTTTTGGTGGGAAGGTCAGAGGAGTAGGTAAACCAAAACTAAGGCAAATGTAATCTCCTGTTATTAGATGCAAGTTTAAAAGCAATTTTTAGTTTGATATAAAAGAAAATGGAACACCTCATTTAAGATATTTTATACTTTTAAGTTGAGGAAAATAAATGCTCTTTTATTATTTTTTGAAAGTACAATTTTATTCCAGGCTGGTATTAGTCTTTCCTATTCTACAAATTGTATAATTAATTATTGTTTACACATTTACTTGATTCTATATAATCTTTGAGATCCTTGGAACAGTTTCAAAAATAATTTAAATGTACAAAAATATTGTATGGTTTCTATATGAAGACATTTGCCATGAATGTTTTCTACATAAAGGAGGCTGGTTGAATGGTTGAATAACAGCTCTGAAGAATTTATTTTTATGAGTTCCACACCATTCATCCATTTTCTAATCTCTTCTCCCAGTCCGGTGCTGCGGAGTAGCCTAACACAAAGAGGACAAGAGCAAGAAGATTGCAGCTGATGCTGACAAACTGGTTAATTAATCACCTAGTGGGCGCTTTTATCTTAAAGAGATGAAACGATGATAAGGAAGTGAACTATGCGTTAATATACTCATGTTGTTATAATAAGTGTATTACAAATCCAACCATCCATTTTCTAACCGCTTCTCCAATTCAGGGTCATGGGGGAGCTGTAGCCTATCCCAGCAAGCAACGGGTGCAAGGCAGAATATACCCACACCAGTCCATTACAGGGCAGAAAGACATAAACACAGACACGCACACACTCACACCAGTTTTCCCCAGAAGACAAAAATATCTACCTGTATGTTTTTGGGCTCTGGGAGGTAACTGGAGCACCTGGATGAAACCCATGCCAATATGGGGAGAAAAAACAGTACAAACTTCATACAGATAACACCCAAGGTCCAAAACTTAAGGTCTTAAGTGTTATACGCTTAGTCCCACACTAGCACAAATGCCCATCATACTGTTTTTTTAATTTTTAATTTTAATTTTTTAATTTTTTATAATTTTTAGGAAGTTTACTAGAGGAACAAAAATAGGTACAATCCATTATGAATTACTTTCCTTAAAAATACTGGAAATTATGTGTGACCACATCTGCTATTAACAGGAGATTTCCTCCTAATTATTTAGTAAGAAATGTCAAATGCTCACTGTTGAAAAACCTCAGTAGAGCCTTTCACAGATTCTATTAAGCAAAGTTATGTAAACATTTTTGTGACCTGACATGAAAGCACAAGAGTAATACGTGCAGAGATCTAGTTCTCAGTCAGAGGTGGACGCCCAGGTCAGGATTTTGATCACAGTGGCTCTTCCAGTCTGCTGCTCTCCAGGAGTTGATTCTCTGCTTTTTGTGCAGTATGAGGTCTGGTCGCTTTTCTTTCCAATTATTCACTCTAGTGGTGCCAATCTACATCATTGCAAACTAATTAAATCTCTAGGGACAAGCTTCAGCTCTGGAATTATGGTTATGGAGAGGTGCTCTTGTACAGTGTCTCTGCCCTAGATTTAACACTGCAGAAGACCTGTCATAGGACAAGCCTAGGCCTCTAGGGGGCGAAGGAAAAGCTTGGGAGGCTTGCCTCTGTGTTGCGGACACTGTGTTTCATCTCAACATTTCCCCCAAAGTACCTTTTCATTGTAAAAGTATGTTTTCACACCAATTATTTAAGACAAAATATCCCAATCAACACCTTTATTATCGACAATACAATATTATCTTCTTACACCCACAGCATGATCCTTTAGGTTTTACGAAATGCATACACCTTTTTTCTACTTCAGCAAAATGGGGGTTCCCTGGAAGAGGGCAAATTCTTATGCAAGGCACTGTTCAGCACTGTACAAGACTGTGCATGTTATGACCCATTTTAACTGCGTTCAACTGAGACAAAAAAATCATCTTTGACCAAAATAATGTTCAGATATAGTAACAGGATTCTGGCCCAGTGAAAAGGATCACATTTTGTAAGCAATTCCAGTTTCTGAATGTCTTGGAAACAGATTACAAGTAAGTGCAAGAAGAAAATCATTTTGCATTTTATACCACAGTATGAGAGGTGTTTTTTCAGATGATCAGATGAAATAATTTAATAATGTTAAAGATCTTGAAGATGCTACAGTGCAACACTTAATAAAATAATAGCATTCATTAAGATGAATAATGTTTTAAACTTAAAAAAGCACTTTTCCCATGAACATGTATTTCTATTTTAGCTTATTCACTAGTCTTTTAATATGTTTTTTATTTTTTCTAATATTTAAGGAAAGATGGTTTGAATTAACCCATGTTCAGTTGACCTGAGATCAGTTTTAAGCCTATGAGTGATTACATAATTGGAGCTGTAAGGTTTAAATGTCAGTATTATCACTGTGGAGATGAAAATAAAAGTACATGCAGACACTTCACAAATCATTTCTAATACACTAGTAATACCAGTTAATTTATTAGTTTTTTTCAAGAAAGTTAAAGCACATAACAATAGCACACATATACATATAACAGAAGTAAATAATTAAGAAATCAATAGCAAACTGACCTGGTAAAACCAAAAGCAAAACTAAATTCTGCTTTGAAAGCTATTTTCAATAGTTAGATTTCTTATCAAGATTTAAAAGTTTTGAGAGTCTCAGAGTCTCTGATAGATTTGGACAATGAGTTCGACAGACATAGTACTGCACACAAGAAAGCTCCATTGTCCATCCTGTGGGTTCTTGTCATCAACAGAGTAAGAAAGCCAGAGTCATCGGATCTCAGATTAAAGTGTTTGACTGCTCACGCCACAGACCCTCAAAATAACAGAGTTAGACCAATTATTACATTATATATAAGCAGGAGAACTTTAATGTCCATTCTAATTTTCTTAGACAAAATTATAGAGAACAACACTTGTGTGCTGGTGCAGAGTGCATTCTGTCAGCACACAAACAACAGAAAGTAATGTGATAAGCAGTTCAGTCTAATCTTTATTAAAATGGTATGTGTCAATATTTCAGCATCAGATAGATAGAACAAGGGTCTTAACTTATTAATGTTACACTGGTAACATTAAAAAAGGATACACATAGAACAGAGGGTCAAAAGTAACACAAATGTTTTTATATTATTATTTTTTTATTATAGGATCTGATTTCGTAAACAACAGCACTGAACTTTGTGAAGCTGATGTTGGGAGCTTATGATAATAAATTCAGTCTTGTCAGAGTTTAGTTTAATAAGGTTATGTTGTATCCACTACATCTTTATAACAGTCAGACACCTGTAAAGTGCAGAAATCACAGCAGTAATGTCTTATTTGGTCTGCAAGTAAATCTGAGAGTCTAACTATTAAACCCACTTCCTCAGTAAGATAAGGTTAATAATATAACCAAGAAGGAACTTTAGAAACACCCTGAATAAGCAGAACAATATCAGACTTAAAACAGACAAGATTTATAGTTTAGTAGCTGAATCAGAACCAAAGTATCAGTGATCCCTAGAAACAATTATGTGCAATCATGTAGGATGCCATCACAGTTTTAAAACATTATTGGTTATTGAATTTTGACTGAGTTTATTCTGTTACGATTTAAGGTAGGAATTTCTTAGATAGAAACCAACTGATAAGAACTGTAATCTGTGTTGCTTATTTTCCTACCCTGTAACTTAATTTTCCACATT